AGATCATGATCTCAGGAAGCACCTCGTCGAAAAGAAGAGGAAGGCCTCACGGGGCCCAGGGATCTCTCCGTCCTGCTCTAAAAAATACTCCAACTTCGACCTCAAGACGCAGTCAAAGTACACACCTTTAACACCAGAGGCCGTAAGAACGAGGGAAGAGTTCGACCTGATGAAAAACAAGTTTGATGAACAGGTCGAGGCACTTAGGGCGAAGTGCGAAAGGAAAGAAAGTCCTTTCGATAACGGCGAGATGGGCGAATCGTCGTTCACCTTGGACATTTTGGAGGCACTCATCCCTCCAAAGTTCAAGAYGCTCGCCATGAAGCCCTATGACGGGTCTAAGGACCCAAAGGATTATGTGGAAGTTTTTGAGGGCCTCATGGACTTCCAAGCGGCGTCTGATGCCATAAAGTGTCGAGCCTTTCAGATCATTCTCACGGGAAGTGCTCGGCTCTGGTACAGAAGGCTGTAGGCAAGGTCGATCTCGACCTACAGTCAACTGAGGAAAGAGTTCATTGGTCAATTCTTTTCTCGACACTATGACAGGAAGACAGCCACTCACCTCGCCACCATCCGGCAGAAAGAAGGCGAGACTTTAAGAGAGTACGTGACCTGCTTCCAAGAGGAGTAGCTTAAGGTCGCGCATTGGATTCGGCTATGTGCTACTTCTTTACCGGCCTGGCCGACGAGACTCTGACAGTCAAACTAGGCGAGGAAGCGCCATCAACCTTCGATGAAGTCTTGCAGAAGGCTAAAAAGGTTATAGACGGGCAAGAACTACTCAGAACCAAACAAGTTCGGACAAACAAGAGGTCCAACCAGAAGAAGCCAGGTGGCCAAGAGAAGGGAAAGTCTGATTCTAAGTCTAAGGACAAGGGATCATCTCCCCAAGGTCGATCCGACTATAGGAGGTCCGACTCGGACTCTAGCAGGAGGGGGCCCTATGAAAGGTAGACCCCAACCACCATTCTGATCTTCGAGATTCTCACCAATATTGAGGAGAACAGTTTGGAAAAACTCCTCAAGCGACCTGATAAGCTTAGAGGAGACCTAGAGAAGCGCAACAAGGACAGGTACTGTCGTTTCCATCGTGATCACGGCCATAATACCTCGAGTTGCTGGGACTTGGAGCTCCAGATTGAAGACCTGATTCAAGATGGCTACTTCAAAAAATATGTAGGCAAGACAGGCGCGAGCTCGGTAGAGAAGAAAGAAGAGAGGAAGCGTTCAAGGACGCTACCTTGGAGAGATGACCGACCTGTAGTCATCAATACCATCTTTGACGGCCCTAGTGGGGGCTAGTCCGGGAACAAGAGGAAGGAGCTGGCTAGGGAGGCTCGTTGGGAAGTCTGCACCATTCAAGAGCAGAAGCCGACTTGCCGTATCTCCTTCTCCGACTCCGATCTGGAGGGAGTACACTTGTCCCACAACGATGCCTTGGTGATCTCGCCATTCATAGACCATGTCCAGGTCAGAAGGGAGCTGGTAGATGGGGGCGCTTCTGCCAACATTCTATCTCTCACCACTTACCTAGCACTAGGATGGACCAGGGCACAACTGAAGAAGAGTCTGACCCCCTTAGTAGGGTTTGCAGGAGAATCCGTCACCCTAGAGGGTTGCATTGATCTTTCCATCACTATCGCCCAATGTGACACCAAAGTCACTCAGATGGTCGAATTCGTGGTAATAGATGGTAGGTCGGCCTACAATGCCATCTTCGGACGACCTATTATCCATTCACTCGGGCCATCCCATCAACTCTGCACCAAGTTATGAAATATTCTACGATCAACAGAGTCGGCATGATCCGAGGAGATTAGAAAACGTCCTGATAGTGTTATACCTCTACACTCAAAGGGTCAACAGTCTATGCTTTGGAAGAGCAGTCAAATCTTCTAAGTTCAGCAACTCAGACTTACGAGAACGAGCTGCCTAAAACCAATCAGGGGGATGTGGCGTCACTAACTGAAGAGTTAGAGCTTGTCCCTTTGCTCAACCCAAAGAAACAGGTGAGCATAGGCACCAAGCTGGGGGCTGCGGACAGGGAATAACTCATCTCCTTCCTCAGGGTGAACTCCGACGTGTTCGCATGGTCTCATGAGGACATGCCGGGCATAGATCCGAAGATCAGGGTTCATCGCCTCTACATCGACCCATCATTCCGACCTGTTAAGCAAAAAAGAAGACCTATAAATAGGGAAAGGAGTGATGTAATTGTTGAGGAAGTGAACAAACTTTTAAAAGCTGAATACATAAAAGAAGTTCTGTATCCTGAGTGGCTCTCTAATGTTGTCCTGGTTAAAAAATCCAATGGAAAGTGGAGAATGTATGTAGATTTCACCAATCTTAATAAGGCTTGTCCGAAAGATTGCTTCCCACTACCAAGGATCGACCAGCTCATAGATGCCATGGCCAGGCACGAGCTGCTCACTTTTATGGACGCCTACTCCGGATACAACCAGATAAAAATGTATGAGCCAGATCAAGTCCACACCTCTTTCATAACCGATCAAGGCCTATACTGCTACAAGGTCATGCCCTTTGGTCTAAAGAACGCGGGGGCGACCTATCAAAGGATGGTGAACAAAATGTTCGCCAACCAGATCGGACGCAATATAGAGGTTTATGTGGATGACATGCTTGTCAAAAGCAGGCAAACCAGGTCGCACCTGGCCGACCTAACTGAAACCTTTGCGGTACTCAGAAAGTATCAAATGAAGTTAAATCCTGTCAAGTGTGCCTTTGGAGTCTCGTCTAGCAAGTTCCTAGGGTTCATGGTCAATAATCGTGGCATAGAGGCTAACCTAGAGAAGATAAAGGTCGTTCTCAAGATGAAAGCACTGAGGACCCTTAAGCAGCTACAGTGCCTTGATGGGAGAATTGCTGCCCTCAATAGGTTCGTCTCCAGGTCCACCGACAGGTGCATCCCCTTCTTCAAAGTGTTAAGAACTAAGGGGTCATTCGAGTGGACAGTTGAGTGTGAGGCAGCTTTAGAAGAACTCAAAAGTTACATCTGCTCGGCACCATTGCTCGCGAAGCCCATGCCAGGAGATAAATTACATTTATACTTGGCCGTGTTAGACAGCGCTGTCAGCTCAGCCCTGGTCAAACAAGATGGAGTACAACAGAGTCCTGTCTATTACACAAGTAAGGCCATAACCACCAGATATCCCCAAATGGAGAAACTGGCCCTTGCTTTAGTCACTGCGGCACGAAGACTAATGTCGTACTTCCAAGCCCATACCATGACCCTGCTCACGAACTTGCCCTTGAAGCAGGTATTTCATAAGCCAGAAACGTCTGGATGGTTGATGAAATGGACTGTGGAGCTAAGTGAGTACGACGTCCAGTTTGAGCCTTGAACGGTTGTAAAAGGACAGGTTGTTGCGGACTTTATAGCCAAACTCACTCCTCCGTCAGCTCAAACCTCCTCGTCCGACCAACCGTGGACGATGTACGTGAATGGGTTTTCAAATGAGAAAGGGTGTGGCGTAGGTGTGCTCCTCCTCGCCCTGGATGGCATGCATTTTGAATATGCCCTGCGCTTCAACTTTCCTACCTCAAACAATGAGGCCGAGTACCAAGCCTTGTTGGCCGGACTGCACATGGCAAGAGGGCTGGGGGCACTCACCTTCTAATGTTCAGTGATTCACAATTGGTAGTGAATCAAATTAAAGAAGAGTATCAAGCAAAAGACTCTCAGATGGAGAAGTATTTGGGAAAGGTCAGATCGAACCTTGCTTCCTTCCAGGCCTACGAAATCAGACAAATCCCGAGGTCACAAAATTCCAACGCTGACGCCTTAGCTAAATTATCGTATGCTTATGAGACCGACTTAACGAGGTCGGTCATAGTGGAAATATTGGACAATCTTTCTATATTGGAGGCAGACATGATGGAGGTCGACTCCCACCTTCCGTCATGGATGGATCCGATCAAGGATTACTAGAGGGAAAAGTCTCGCCAGACCCAAGGGAAGCCAAAAAATTGACAAGGAAAGCAGCTATGTACTTGCTCCGAGATGGAACACTATACTAGCGTGGCTTTTCCTTAACTCTCCTTAAGTGTATTTCCAAAGAAGATGGAAATTATGTTCTTAGAGAAGTTCACGAAGGTGTCTGCGGCAACCACTCAGGGGCCAGGTCCCTATCAGCGAAGGTCATTCGTCAGGGTTACTACTGGCCCACGATAGACCGAGATGCGAAGGAGTTTGTGAAAACATGCGACAATTGCCAGCACTTTGCAAATCTTGTCCACCAACCTCCCTAACTGCTGACTCCGATCTCAGCACCATGGCCCTTTGCGCAATGGGGAGTTGACCTTATCGGGCCTTTCCCATTGGGCAAGGGGCACACCAAGTATGCGGTTGTTGTCGTAGATTACTTCACCAAATGGGCCGAGGTTGAAACCCTCTCGACAATCACGGAGGCTAGAGTCACGACCTTTATTTGGACAAATGTAGTCTGCCATTTCGGTATACCTAATGCTATTGTGATTGACAATGTCAAGCAGTTCGACAACGCCAAGTTCAAAGACTTCTACCGCAAGCTCGGAATCAGTCACCTCTGCTCGTCTCCAGCTCACTCTAAGGCTAATTTAACAATATTTAACAATTATCGTATGTGAGATGTGAATTATGGCTTATTTAACAATTGGAAAATTCGAACCTTCAGAACTAAATTCGGACCTTCGAAACTTACGAGTTCGAAGTAAGATGTGAATCGAGACGTAGAAAGGTCAGAACCTTTAAAGACTCGTAGAAATGGAGTGCAAGGTAAAATATAGGAGGCGAATTCCGAAAAAAGAAGTGACAGACTTAAAAGGTAGTTTAAAAAGATGATATTACATTAATAGGTGAAATATTGACCGAGGTGTATAAACCTCACGGCCTACAAGAATCTGAAAAGATAGACAAAAGAGCAATGAAAGTGGCAGAAGGTGGAAAGGCCTCAACTGCTTCCGAGGTGTGACCCGAGCTCACCTTGGGACCCAAGGATGTCTATCTCTTGGGAGTCTATCATCCCTACCTCCTGAGAGGAGTTTACACCAGCAGCTGAAAGGAGAGCCCCGTCAGCTTCTTGGGAAGACGGATCCGCATCGTCGCCCTCGATGGGCTCGACGTCAGATTCGAGCTCCTTCAGACATTGCTCCACAAGGTCCTGGGGGCCAAGGGTCCCAGGGACCCGAAGCCCACTTCTCTGCATACCGAAGTTTGATAGGCGCAAGATCGAGCTCGGGGGCCACTTTCTGAACTCCCTTCATCAAGAATCTAAAGCCAGCATCACTAAAATCCTTGGCGAACCCGTCAAAGTTAGGATGCTGGTAGAATGCTTCCTCCAGGAGAACCCCATTGCTGAGCTTGGACTCTGCCAGCTCAAGCTTGGCCTTCAGGTCCGCCGTCTCGGCATCTCGAGCCTTCAGTTTGCCCTCCAGGTCGTTTCGGAGGCATTCGAGGTCGTCGTTCTGCTTCATCAGTGCGAACTTCTCCTTCTCCAGGCACTTGGCCACAGCATGCGCGCCTCTCAAATTCTCCAGGTGCCGAGCAACTTCTGCTTCGGCACTTTTGAGCTCGGCCTTGTCAGCATCAGAGTGTTGGGTGTGTTGCCCTAAACTCGTAGTTTGTATTATGTAAAAACAAATGTATATTCAATAAAGTTTTATTCAATAAATTTGTTGTTGAAACATAGCATTGCATTGTCCAAATCCAATAAACTAAACATCCAAGGTTATTTTGATGTAATCGGGACGATATATATATTGGTATATAGTTGATATACGGGGTATATATTTGATATACCCCTAATATATGAATGGATAATGTCCTGTGAATAACCTAAAGGGTCTATAGTATATGGATAAGGCTAGGTACCTTATCCTGACAACACTATGGATACGGCCCACTCTGTAAAGGTTACAGACGACTCGATCCAGGTCGTTCGTGTGGAGACATGCGAGTGGGGGTATCCTATACAATGAGTTTGTATAAGACCGGACCACGAAATAGGCAATCTTTAGATGTAACACCGTTAACTAATAGGTTGTTATTTCTTAGGATGACCAGGCAACTCATTCTCAATCCTAAGTGAGTTATGGACTCCTGCCCGTGAGGGCTCGTCCTTTGATCTGTATGGGTGAGAGTGGCCCGAGTCGCCAACTCAACATTCCTACCATTTTGGGGATGAGACCGAGTGGGGAGCTGGGAACATAACTTCACAAGATGGAATTCACTCTTCCCCGACTTTAGGGGAGTAGATGAGAATTCCCTTAAATGCTGACTCCGGGACTTGAACAAGGGGCCCCACTCTCTCATTGGCCGAGAGGGACTTCCGGTTATTAGTTGGACCATAACCGGGTTGTTCATTAGAGGAGCAGTGGTGTTTAAGGAGTAAGGTGTAACTCAGGGGTAAAACGGTAATTTAACCCAACTTGAGTTACGAACACTCGTGAAGGATTGACTCGTCATTAATGGTCGTATATCCATGGACAAGAAAACATTCTACAGTGAGAAAAGTGCAACTGTGGGTCTTTAGTGGAATGACCCGTAGTTAACGAATCTAGATTAACTCGGTCAATGAGTTTGACCGATTAATCTTACATCGTTGGAGCTTCGGATCTGTAGGTCCATAAGGTCCCCTTGCTAGCTTATAATGGGTAAAACGAGGATCAAGTTTTTGGAAGAATTTGAATTGTTCAAATTACTTAAGGGATTATATGTATATTGATACATTATAATATATATAGTTAATTGTAAATTAAAACTATATATTATGAGAGATATTATTTAAATGAGATTCAAATAAAATTAATATGAATAAGATTCATATTAAAACTATAGGTTAAAAATAATGTGCATAAGATGTACATTAAAACTATAGGTTAAAAATAATGTGCATAAGATGTACATTAAAACTATAGGTTATACGAGAGAAATGTTTTAGAATATGATTCTAATTTTATAATAAATAATTAAGTGTTAATTATATATATATATATATATATATATATATATATATATATTTATTAATTATTAATTGGATTAATAATTAATTAT